TCAGAGTTTGCATGTTGCAGAACAATGCTACGCTCGTGCGTCTCGATTCTTCATCCGTACGCATGATGATGACCGAAACGACGCTACACCGTATGTTCGAGTTTGACGGGTGTATCGATCTAATGTTTGAACAATTAGTCCGACTCGTCGATATGGTCTATGTCAAATATACGCAATTCTCCAATATCGTTCAAGAACGCTATACGCGATAGTGATGCCTTCAATGTACATCAGCTCGTCGATTGTGAGCTATTAGCTTTAGTTTTTTATACGTAAGGAAAAAATCGGTGTAATTATAGATGAATAAAATAAAATAAAATAAATTCATTCGCATCGCTATACATGTATTTATTTTAATACCCATCCGTCATATCCTTTGCCCTAGTAAAATAAAAAGAAAAGAATACAGTGTATTGTGAAAACTAAGTCATAAAAAAGATAAAAGGGAAAAGAGGTTGTCGTATTTTTACAGGCGGGTGGCGGCGGCCCACGGCGGCAGCGGCGGCGGCGGCCCTCAATGCATTTTTGGAGTGGTCGCGGGGTCGCGGCAACGACAGGGGGACCTTCTCTCTAGCCACATAGAGTTAGAACTCACCTACTATACCTACTCTCAATAATTATGAAACTTGGTTATATTTAGGTATTTAAATTATAGAAAAATTACATTACGCTATATCTTGGTCAAAAAACGGTTGGAGCATATACCCTTTGTAACACTTTTCGTTCTATAACTGTTTGTTTTTTGTTCATGGCAATATTTTCTTTTTTGTGATGTTTTTTTTGTTGTCTTGTACGTGACTGCAGTCCCCAAAATCTTACTGCCATTCCGCATGACGTCATACCCCCACCACCGAAGAATCCCCGCGCTACGCTTCCCCTCGCCTCCGAGTATCCCCCGCACCCCGCGCTCCCCTCTAGCCCCATGGGTTAGAACCCGCTTACTATACCTACTTAAATTCTGTACAAAATGTTTGCAGCATCGCGTTTATTAGTAATACAATTTTCTCTTAAAAATGATACAAAATATTTGAATTTCTCACTATGCGTATATTGCAGGGTTGTTAAAAAAACATTTTTTTTTATTTTAAACAAAAAACATTGTTTTTCTTATTTGGCACAATGTTTTCTGTTTTATTTTCTGTTTTTTTAAGCAACAAAAAAAAACATGTTTTAAACAAGAAAAAAACATGTTTCTTTTTAAATGTTTTTTTTGTTGCTTAAACAAGTAAAAATTATTGTGTGAATATTTGAATCTTTCGTCATTAAGAATAATAAATAACTGAAATTGAAAGAATTAGTTATTTTTATTTATTATTATTTTTAATTTATTTTACTATTAACATATTTCTTGTTGAGCACTTTTCCAAAGTGTACGCGAATTTATTATCGACTTTATTGATTCTGCGGGTAAATCGGGCTGA